TGTTGGATACTTTGACCGACACAGAACTGATTGCCAGGTATCGCTTTCCTCGACATACCATCCTACAGCTGGTTGATCGGGTCAGCTCGGAGATCTCTCGGCCGACCCAATGTTCGTGTGCCTTACCTGTCCATGTGCAGGTGTTAGTAACACTTAGATACTTTTCATAAGGGGGATTTCCAAGCGAATTAGGAGATATACATGGTATTGCCAAATCAAGTGTTTGTCGCGTGTTGGAAAAGACGACAGATGCAATCGTAAAGTCGTATGACTTGATCCGGTTTCCAACGCCCGACAAACACGCTAAACTAGCGGAGGATTTCTTCCACATCTGTGGTTTTCCGAAAGTTGTTGGCTGCATAGATTGTACTTTGATACCTATTCAACGACCAGCATTAGATGAAGCAGTATATGTGTGCAGAAAAGGATTCCACGCCATTAATGTGCAAGCTGTGTGCAACGCCCAACTCCGGTAAATATCCTTGACGTCCTTGACCCTTGCAATGTAACCAAACAATCTAGACTTGCTGGTACTTTCAGATAATAAACGTCATTGTGTCATAATTGATTTGTCAATAGCTCATGTAGGCTTATTAATGTCCAAATGTTTCATAATTATTCGGCTTATTTAAATATTATTTTCTCAACGAATGTGGACTTGTGGATTTAGTTATTTATGTATGGATTTATTTATTTTTGCAGATTCACAAACATTATTGTCCAATGGCCAGGATCAACCCATGATTCACATATTTTCAACAACTGCAATTTGAAAAGGCATCTGGAGGAAGGGAAATATGACATCTGGCTTCTCGGTGATTCAAGAAATAAATGAGTTTGAAGTATTATTTACCAAACATTAATGCCTGTGTAGCTTCTTCAGCTTCATCAGCTACTGAAGGAATGATGCTGAACACTGTTAAATTAATAAAACATATGTTTCATTGGTGTTATCATAACAAATACTGTGTGTGGCTGCGGTTGATTTGAGTTCACCAACAGCCTGAGTGGGTAAATTTTCAAGACAACAGATCAACGGGCGCACGGTTTATTCAGGGCCCAAGTTATTTACGATAAAATCGACAAGTCATTGTGAGCATGCATGTAGTGTCAATATCAATCAATCAATCAATGTATATTACACAGAACCATTCATCGTGGTACATGGATACACACATATGATACATTTCAGTATAACTGTACACAATCGTGTACACATTTGTAGCAGTGAACCGTTACATAAATACGATTACAGTTGGGAGTATTTACACTAAAGCAGACAATATACACTGTATAAATGTGTGTGTGTTCTTATGAATGACATGACTTATGAATGACGGAGCTTTAAAAGCGGACCTAATAATGGCTGACATTTGTTGAAGTTTTCGGTTCACATGATACAATCTTTGCAGGTGACATTTTCCTTCGTTCTTGAAGTACGGACATTCAAACAGGAATTGAAATTTATATCTGACACGCAGCAATCGTATAAATTCTAAATTCTTTTGTTGAGATAAATATTTACCCAGTTGTCAGTTTCAACAGGTAGGAAGTGATCACTCGTTCGGAATTTAATAAGGGGTCGGGATACTTTTTGAGGCGGAAATATATATTCCTCTAATCCAAAGTTAGGTTTTAAACAGGTATAAAAATCACCCTCCTGTCGTGTTTTAAATAACTTGATCAGATAAACGTTGAAAAAGTGGAAACCAAGGCCGTTCATATGAATGTTAGCACTCCTCTTGTATTCATTTAACAGTAACAAATCATGGCGATGGTTAAACGGCATTTTCAAACATATGGGCTTGATTATGATTTACCAGCACTATAACCGACCGTATATTTTGATTTGTATTTGTCACAAGTTTAAACCAATAAGAACTATTACGTTTCTTGATTGAAACAGTGGCAGGTACACGGCCGCTTTCGTAGTAAAGTATATATGCTGGTGTACTCTTACGTAATTTGGATTAGTTTTTCCACGGTTCGTCATTTGAGTAACCCTATACCTCACCACCATACATCTAGATATGAAAGACCACTCAATCAACATATTTAAGCATACAATTGACCAGAAAATTGTTATATGGCAGTGTACTATATTGTTAACCAATGATTGTAACTGTATTACATTGTTGAAACGTGTGGAATTTACATTGAAACGTGTGGAATATTCTGTAATGTTTTAGTGACAGTGGACTGGTCTAGCCCTGTGTAGAAAGTGCGGGAAGCCAGTTAGACTACATAAGTGGAGAGGGTGTGTGCCTGTCTAATCTCACATTTCATTTGACATTACATCAAGACCAGCTTTCACTTTTCACATCGGTGTTCAAGCTCTCGGAAACTTGACCACAGTTGCGGCAAGGCGACAACTATTCTTTTCATTACCATTTCCACTGCTCTCACATTTTATACTGCCATTGAATATTGTACTACAACTCTATTCTGTACTGTCATTGAAATTGCTGCGCAGTAATTTGTATTGATTTGTAAACCTTTTTAATTGTGTAATACATTTGTTGACTGCATATAAGTTTTTGATTGTCTGTTGGTTTTACACTTAATTCCTTTAGGTGCAAATTTCTTGGTTCACATATTGTTTCAATTTGGGATTCATAACAATATGTAGATTTCTAGATTTAGATAGTATGATTACTTACGGGAACATTGCTGTCAGATTTCACGATCTATATTTCGTTTTTCTCCAGTCATATCAAACAGAAAATCGATTTATAAGATTATCAAGTTTCAACAAGGCATATTTATGGAGGCAATATAATCTTACAGCAATAAGTTATGCCGAGGTCGGGTGAAGCGCGCCATTTTTGATATTCTTACGTCTGCTGGCATTACGACACAGGATTTGTATTTTTGTGTATCGAAAACATTCACCAAAAACACCTGAAATTAGGATTGGTGAATGAAGTGTCCTATGTTAATCGATAAATTGTAATATTGTAAATTCATATTATTGTTATTAATTACACGAACATAACATTCATATTCAGTATGCTATTGTATTATATCATCATTGTAAATATATGTCATAACTATTGTATATTTCACTGTAAATCAATTAATATGTCATTGTAAATATTTATCGTTTGGTATGGCCTTCTTCCGATTTCGTTCTGTGTATGAATTTGTCATCATGATTTAACAGTTCATTCACATGACAGTTGATCGATAAGTACATTTACCTTATGTATTTACCTCATTTATCGCTCAGTTTAAACCTTTATTTATTTCAATTTTCTGTAGATTGTATCTTCTTTGCTGTGTTCCATTTCCCGGTTTGCAGCACTCTCCTACCCAGAGTTCCATGCGGCCGGCAGCCAGCTAGCATAGTACCTCTGCCACAGGCCAGCGCCATGTGACGATTCGTCACATCTTTCACAGTCCATTCAAGATAGTGCATATGCTTTTCATCCGTTTCATGTTTGACAAGTCTACACATTTTCATAAACAAATGTCAAAGAATGGTTAACTTTCATTGAGAAATGCAAATACGTAAAAATCTACTTGTTTTTGTGTAGTTATCCTATGTTTACATTGGTTGTACGGCTCCACGTGCTGTCATCGAAGCGCAACGGAGAGCTAGCGACACGGTCACTTTGATGCATAAATATATATTGTCATGCAACTCACTGTCGCAGTTGTAGAAGCATATCAATATAGTTATGCAAAACATATATGTAAAGCGCCCCCAAATACTTACATTAGTCCGTTCTATACTGATTTCTGAAAAAGCGCGTTTGTTTACAAACAAGAGAAAAGTCCTGGTCACGTGATATGCAAATTAGCCTGTGGCAGTGGTGTTATGCTGAGTCACCACTGCGACGGAGTGGGGGTTTGCAGCAAGCCGCCATTTTACGTCACAGCATGAGTTGACTTTTAGTTTCGTATCTCACATTTCGGTTATTCAGTAGCTTCAACCCAATTTACTAAATCTAATCTCATCTAAATATTGGTTTTAATTATTCTTTTAGAGACTTAGTTTATTGCTTTATGCTTTGCTATATTTATTGTACCTTGTTTCGAATAAGTTCGTTGATGACGTCGCTCATCAACAGTGACAGTTGTAATCAGTTGAAGATTTGTTTTTCATCACGATCAGACGTTGATTTTACGGCACTTCATTTTAGTTACGTTTATAGTTTTTACGTTTGGACAAGTCTTGATTCATTTCCATCTATTATCTTGTAATAACTATTATTTATAATTATATATATCTTTTTCACATTAATTCAATAAATGGCTATGGATATGGCTGTCTTACAATGAGGCGAGTAACTGAAAGAAAGGTTCAGAGAAAGGAGTCATGGCCAACGAAATGATCTATATCATCCCCCAACAGCAGATGTATTGCGATGTTTGACATCCATCAATGATGATTGGAAATCTAAGATCCTAAAGAGGATCATAGTCGTGCCGTGCTAACAGAAGACAATTGGTTTGAATACCAAGCTTGAATTAAAATGAGCAACGAATGCTTTAACTTATATGATTGTGTAATTGTGTCCCTTCCAACAAATGACTTCCAAACGTCAGTCAGATGAATTGATAAAACGATCCTTCAATTTCACAATGCCAATTTTGTTCCAGAAACATCAAATTAGAATAAAAACAAAGATTTTCTTTAGTATTACATTTACTCCTGCGAAAACACGAGCATATTCTCATCGAGTACGGTTGGTTGCATCTACAGGGTGACAAAGTGTATGAAGGGCGGTGCTGGACTTCCGCTAAGTTTGTTGTACACAGCACACTTCTTCATATCACATGGGGATTCCAGCCACTCGTAGCGGATACCACCAAGATAGGGGTTGCTTGAGGTACACGCACTGTGGTAGTCAATTGTTAAAGACGTTGAGTCTGAAGCTGTGATTGGAACATCCTTCCACTGGGTAGAAGGGGAGGCGAATGGACAGAATACCCTTGTGTCAGATATATCATTTCTTGGGACACAACACACCTGGTCAGAAATAAATGTCGATGGATTAGAATATGGCATGTTACACTGAGGTTGGAGTGAGGGTACCATGATGTTTCCAGATAAAATATTGTAAACCATCTGGTTCTGAGGTTCCCTACAGTATATAACATACTTCATGTTGTGTAGTAGAATCCACATTGAGTCATTACATAAGAACTATTGCCCCAATACAATACAATGGTTTAGTATTCCACTGTAGTATAGTACAGTCCGTATTCAACCATACTGAATGTAAACAGAAAACGTTAAAGAGACCATTCCTCCAAAAGCAGGCATAACTCTGCTGATAACACATAATTCCCACTAGAAAAAGTATCATTCTTGATATCCGCAGAACCACGCAAGTGCAATTGACATGAACATGGTGAAACATGAGAATCTAGATAATCTACATTGTATTTGTCTCCAAATGTCAAGTGTGTCCATTTTCATGTTGTTTGGACCACCACATGTCGCGGTAAGCAGTGTTGAATTAATACCTGTTGATGACCTTATTACTGTCCCAGTGCTACACACGGAAATAACTTTCGATTATCAACAAATTATATTTTAGTTGTTGCTTAACGCTACAGTTAGCAATATTCCAGCTACAAACATATTTAGGCAGATCATCATCATCATTAGCAGCAATATCAGCAACAGCAACAACAGCAACGCCTCATGCTGTCCGGGTACATGTGCATTGATACGCATTTAACAAGTCTCATACGAGAAGCGTCGCTCACATGGGACCGATTGGGGATATTTCATCTATAAATTGTAGAAAGGATGAGTCTATATACATGGTTATATTTTGTCAGTTTCATTTGCATCAATTCATTTTGTTTATAAATAAAAAGGCGACATTGACATACCTCAAATCCATTGTTAGTTCTCATTTCAATTGTTGTCTTGGAGTTTGCATATGAAATAATTACAGTTTTCAAATCCACCACTTCTGTAAAACCTGAAGGGAAAGGTCCTCGTCGGTTGAGCATGTCAGTTCTGTTGTAAGCCACGATCATTGCCTCAGTGTACAATCTGTCTGCGATGTCCTGCTTATATTCTGGATGGATGCTGGAGAAAATGGTATTCATATATTAAAATACATATTGTTGTTTTGGCGAAGTTACATTTATATTTCTTGATTTGTTTATAAACAAACATTCGGTATGCGTGAGTGGGTTGTTAAAGGAGCGGGCGAGGCTTCACTTTGCCCATAGGTGCATGGCGCGGGGCTACCGTGATATATATTGCTTCCATCTCTTAACCCATAGGATGTCACGGTTTTACTGGCCATATGGTGGTGGTGTGTGTGTGTGTGTGTGTGTGTGTGTGTGTGTGTGTGTGTGTGTGTGTGTGTGTGTGTTTATTACCACCAAAGACAATAAATAGATCTTAATTGTGCACACCCCCTTTTCAAAAAATCTGTATCCTATCCGCCCATGTTGGGTACGGTATTCACAATCATTCTTCTCTTTACTCATTGGTCAACCGGTGCAGTCTTTCCTGATCCTACAATATAACGAACCTTACTTTCAAAACCCAGCGCAGTAGCATAAAATATTAACTTCTTTCACTCTCGTATGTGCACACGATTTCGTGGCAAATATGGCAAAGATGATTGGATTTTACAATTCGTAATATTCGTTACGTGGTAGCATTTGTTAGACACCTATGCCCTCAATGGTGAAAATAAGATAATGTGATACGTATATAATAGACTCATGGCAGGTCAAACCCAGTTTTACCCAGTCAAATATACCAGTGGTTGATATTATGAATGACGCTGAATGTAGTCGGGGCGGATGCCTTGCAACCAACAAAGTCACCGAACCTGACCAACTGATCAACTTCTGTAGACTCATTACATGTTACTTGGGACCAATTCTTATTTGGAAGCCCAAAAGGTGAACAAAAGTAATTATTCATTTGCAAATTACATGTAAGTGCATTTGCTTTATAGATAACATGTCTTGATTATTGAACTCTTGAGTCTACATGTACCTTCCATATGGAGACGTAAAGTCTGGCAGATCCATGGCTACGGCCATGAAGGTGTTCTTCAACCTGGCGTTTGGGACGTAACCACAGTCAGCTGTCTGGTGCCATCTCAAAGTTGGCCATCCAGAATAAACCTTCCCTTTTCTGTACGGAGCCAGCTGAATTTGTCAGTTGTTAAAATGTATGTTAAAAGTAAGTGACGAAGTAAATATGATACCATTTCTTTTCACTCCAAACCAAAAGAAAGTTAAGAGAATCCAACACTTAATCCACAATAATAATATAAACGACCAAAAGAAATCCCATAATCATTAAAACAAACAAAAAAACAGTGTTTTTACGATTCCAACTATATCATAAAGCATGTGTTTATAATTCACCATCCAATCCTGGTGATACCAGGTGTTCTCTAAAGGGTGAGTATATCCTGCCCAATCGGTGGCCGCCGTCACAAACACATGCAAAGGTAAGTAAATGGTTTAGCTGAAAAACACACTGGACCACCATCAAACATAGTTTGTGGTCACTGATGAATCACATTTTGAAATATCCTCTACACCTCAACCGTAAAACATTTTAAAGACTTTAATTTGGCCTTGAATGTAGAAACCATTGGCTGGAGTTGCTGGGATATTGCTTAACATGACGTGAAAGTTGACTATTGGAAAGTTGAGTGACGTTGTTCATCCCTCTTGTCATACTGTGAATATGAATCGTTAAGCATATATCTAAATACGAAAGGGATGAAGACGTTTCAATGGTCTATTTTATTTATAGTTCAGGTTGGTAAGTCAGTGGAAGGAAATTGGTTATTTGACTACTATCAAACAGCATCGATATACCTGAAGCTTTGTGACGTGTTTTTAATAATATTTTTATCAGTAAATATATTTACCTGTACAAATCCAAAGGGGAACATATCTGACGTTTGTCCACCAGACGCATCTGAAAACTTTCGCCTCCAATCATCTATCATTGCTGGGAATGTGCAGTTGTAACTGTCTAGTCTTTGTTGAGGCCAAATATTTGATTCACCTGTGAAAGTTCCATTTAAATGGAGACGCTTCAGGTTGAAACAATGTTTATAGATGTAGAGATTGATCATGCAAAATGGTTTCAGATTCGATCTCTATCTAAATAGTTCAAATATCTAAAGTAAAATTCGTCCATTTACACATCCATTAAGTTACATGCTTGAACTAACCTTGATACCAGATAGCGCCATATATCGTCATGTTCAGAAGAGGATACACCATTGCATTCCAAAGACTGGAATATGTTGAGGGGTCGACTGTACCATTCTTGTATTTGATCCTGTGGAGTACCACATAATTCAGCCACAGTGTTGAAGTTCACTTGACCAAGGTAAACAACAGAGATGGAGTCTAATGTAACGTATTTGGAAAACATTATTAAAATGAAAATTTGCCTCCAGATGCTCCAGCAGGATCAACGACGATAAATATGCAGCAATATCACACGATTCTATGTGTCGTACACGAGTCTACATGTACAGTCAATATACCATAATTGTGTTTTAAATTTTTTTCTCCATATGTTTTTAGATGCCTGTGACCAAGAAGAGTATATACCAAATCATTATCAGTATTGTACAGAATGTATAAATGTGGAAATTGCTTTTTATTCCAGAAACTTATTACATACAAAATAACGTCTTATAGGCCTTCAACTCAACCGACGTAAGTTGATTGCATTTTAAAATTATCTAGTCTAGGTAATAACATGTTCCAAATAAACGGTTATCTGATATTTGTTGACATAATACAATCAGCAGACAATTTCTCACTTTTGACCAACAAAATAAATTTGTCTGTTAACATAATGGTTAAAGCGGAATGATCACATTCCAGTCATGATATAACATAAAATTCTAGATAGAATGTGTTTTCATCAAAACATTTTGTTCTAAAATGCATTTCATACTCACGCAGGTATCTCATTTTTGCTGAGGCATTTGTCGAGGGCGTCTGGAGACGACCAGGCTTCAACAAGAGTCCCTCCATATGACGTTGCTACCAGCCCAATGGGGTACTTGAGAGTTGAATAAAGATGTTTTCCATACATAAAACACAGTGCGGAGAAATACTGCCACGTTTTCCCGCCTACTGTTTCTAAAGAAAACCAGTAACACAATGTTGAGGATACACAATGTTGCATTATTATTATCATGATGTAATCCTCTGTGGTGCGGTTGTCTTCGTCTTATGTAAGGCGATATACAACTCAGTCGGTGGAATCAGATCATTGTAAGATAGAGATGTTATTATCCATAGGGTTAGAAATAATCGAGTTAATAAAAATCGTATGTGCACCAGTGCAAATATCCTTTCACGCGCACCGGCGTATTGATTACGTTATTAAGGAATATCGGGTAATGAAATAATTACACTAGCATGTGGGTCTTATTGAGTTTACGGAACTCGCTCTCACTCGGGAAATACAATGATTCTGACACTCCTTTCGTAAAATCAATATAACGCACATGCTAATATAATAATCGCTACACATTGTACAAGACTAATACACATGTATGTATGGGCATGGCTTGTGCAATAATGACCATCTGGAAACAAAATTTGAGTGATATTCGAATTCAGACAAGACAAGCAATGTTCACCAAACATTATTCAGGCAATTGAAGCTTAATCGGAACTATATGTTATGCTTATATCAAGGGACCACACATCTGCACTAAAATGTTCAGTAATGTGTCTTGAAGAGGTCACACTTTCGTTCGTTATAGCTTCAGTCAGTCATGATAAAATGGACATAAACATTTTGTTTATATACTGTGTCAAATTAAAAACTTCACATTTTTAAAAGTCATCCCATATATGATATACAACGGACAAATTTATCAGAGAAGGTAATATTTAATCATTAATGTCCAAAGAAGGATTTTAATTAACGATGGAAACCATAATTTGTTCCAAGCACCTACGGTATTCGGAAATAACATCAACAGTTTAAATCATAAGTCCCAAGCACGAGAATCTGATGGCACACAAGTTCAGTAGCGTGTATGGCCACCATGTGCGTTGCCAACTGCCACACAACGCCTCCGCATGGACCTTGTGATGCTTGTGAACACATGATTGGGAAGACGACGCCATTGTTGCTGCAAAATGGTGCCAAGATCTTGCAAATTCTGTGGTTGGTTCTGGAGAGTGCGCAGACTTCTGCCAAGAGCATCCCAGACGTGTTCGACGGGGTTGAGGTCGGGAGACCTTGACGGCCAGTCCATGACGTTGACAAAATTGCTGTGTGGGGGTGGCATTGTCGTGTTGGAAGATCAAACCGGGTCCATGTGCTGCCATAAAAGGCAGAAGTTCTGGTGCCAGTACCTGGTCGCGGTAAGCAGTAGCGTTGAGGTTGCCACGGATGACAAGAAGCCTGGAACGTGCATTGCCACAGAAAGCACCCCACACCATGACACTTCCGCCTCGAAATCTGTCAACTTCCTGTACAAAACACTGGGCGTAACGTTCATGACGGCGCCTGCACACCCTCGCCCTACCATCAGCAAATCTTCCCACTAAACAGTTTATTTCTGGTTGCTGAAGCCGTCAAAAATCGGTTACGGCTGTGACGTAAGACAATCTGACGATCCTCTGCATGTGACGTCACACGTGGTCGACCTGGCCTAGGGCGATCAGAGGTGGTACCCGTTTGCTGTAGACGCGTCTGTAAATCATAAACAGTCCGTCGACTACAACCCATCGTCCTTGCGACTTCAGCTACGGACGTTCCCGTCTGCAACATGCCGATGGCACGTTCACGTTGCACATTTGAAAGGCGTGGCATGACAAATGGCCGTAAAGACTTTTTTTTCTTCTTTTTTTTCTTTTTTTTTAATGACTGAAAGTATGGTTGAAAACACGTGCGGTATTATGGCAACGTGACCAGTTGCACGTGAAAAAAACACTTTTGCCACTATAGTGATGTGCACATTATTTTGATCGATACACCTGCACAAAAAATATCTGAAGACAATACGTGGCCATTACTGTTTAAATACACAATAAGGGCCCACAATGATAACTGGTCATAATGTTAAAATTTTAGGATTGTGAACTTTTTAATTTGGTTCAGTATATATGCACAATTATACCTGTTATATTGGCTTACTTAACTGATGTGAACCTTGCTTTCCGTGACCGAAACTGATGTGAATATCATTTATTCTGAAGTTTGTTTCAGTTGGGCAATACTACTAATGTGTACTTTATCAAATGAGTTATTGACAAAACATAGTTTATTCAAACGCACAGTATCTATATTTTATATTTGCTTTGTTTGCCAAATGCAAAGATGCAATAATAAAAACACCACAAGAAATCAGAAAGTTGAGACGATAAGGTAAATACACAAGCTTCGTATCGATATGAACACGAAAGTTGTATTTAGCAATACAGAAAGTTTCATTATTATATATCATATCATAATTTTAGGAATCAAAGTCATATTTAATACGTTACTGCTTTTGCAGAATGAACAAGCCTTTGATTTGAAGCTAAGGCCATCTTTTAAAAGGTCGACTAACCTCTCGAAGAAACGACCCAGCCGTGATGCAGTTCTAAAAAGTCTGCTTCCGGTTTGATAGACGTTGTTTGCATAGGTGTGAACAGACGAATGTTTGGATAATTGTCTGCATCCTTAATCTCAGCTGCTGAATTGTTCGCCTGGAAGTTTAAAATGTTACAGAACGGGAATCGAGCCACTTTAAAAAAAATCCTCAAATATTTTGAAGCTGTGGAGATGCCCATTCATCTGACAAGAACGCTACCAATGCAGAACAATCTGCCAAAATAAGATACCTTGTCTTAGGATTTCTATTGAAATACATGTAGTAACGTTAACGTCTAAAATGATTTCTAATAAGAAAAAATAGTCTTTAAAGTAAGCGATGCTTTAAAGCAGTGAGAGCAAATGGTTATTGGTCAATGAATTGACAATTGTACGGTTTTCAGATTATTAACATATAATGTCATACTATTGGACACAAAATGTATTTGATAAAGACTTTTTTAAGGGCATGTGGATGAGACACGCATGCCTATGGTTGTTTTATACTGTCACCTGGGTATAAGAATATCAATGTAATCACATAGTTCGCATTTGTGTATTCCCGTAAGCAGCATAATGAGTGAAGTATGTTCTGGTAGGTTTGTTGATTTGAGATACGAATCCATTGTTGTTGCAACAAGAAAACAGCTGAGGAAAGTTTGCTTATATCAGTGTGAAGTAAACATACCATATTCATCGTGAATTGCATATTGCTCTGGCCAGAACAAACCCATACGTCACCAAACAGGACATCGGACAGCGTTAGATTCCCTTCTCTCGATGTAACTGTGATAGTGTATGGGCCACCAGCGTCCATTGGCGGAAGCTGCGCAGTCCACACAACAACACCAGGATCATTTCCTGACCTTGTGGCTGTCGTCACGGATCCCTTCCCAGGTACGTGGACGGTGACAATCTCCCCCGCAGTAGATGCAAACCCCCATATTGTAGACTTGTGTGGTGATTGTTGCAGCACCATATGGTCACCGTAGGAACTTGCAAATTTAAATGAGGAAGCCGCCACACCTGTTAAAGAAATCCAAACGTAAATATTACACACCTATCAACTGAAAATGAAATCACAAATATACTGTAACTGTAACTTCACACGACAGATACAGAAACATACATGTGGCGCAATGTATTTCAATAACAGGTGTTTAATACGTATTTTGATTCGTTAGTAAAGAGGAAATTTAAAAAGTTCATAGTTGTTCAACTCAAGGAGTAAAGAGTTTAAGTGCAACGTTGAACAATATTTTCTGCTTAACCTATAAGGAAAGCCCATGCAAGCTCAGGCGATTACCACTTGCCTTGAACAAGGCCATGGTTCTCACAAACCAAGGACTATTATCAGGGCGAATCATGGATCCGAAAACAAAATGATCCTGGCATGTCTAACAGAAGAGACTGAGGCAAACTCGTACTGACAATTTAAAAAATATGTACGATTGATTGACGTCTTTTAACAGAAGTGTTAATGAATACAACTAACCTCCAAATGTGAAAAACGAAATATAAATCACCGACAGTAAGGTGAACATGTCTAGTGTCTTCATCGTCACCCCACTTCGTTTCAGGAATGTCTTATCATCATTCAGCAGTTGTTTCTCACAGTCAAACACTGATTAGCCAACATGAGAAGGTTGACCATGACATTCTCATGTCCTTAAATTTGCTTAATCACTGGCACCTTTATCGCTTCAGCGGTGATAATCTTTTCAGGCGAGAAGAAGCAGTTCTGCAGTTAGGTCTTCACTTGATCAATGGCTTATTAGAGTTCAGGGCTATATATCCACCTGTCTTACTGTGAGGTTTTACCTTTACCTGTTGCAGTCCAAAAGATCCACTGTTGACAATGTTTGTCCCAGACTAAAATGGATGGTAATCATCGTGTTGTTGATTGTTGCGCTTCCTTCGAGGCACTGGCTTGCCTGGTCAAGACTCATCTATATATACACACGCCCTCATTATTGAACCCTCTGTCTTTCAGCTTTAACAACATTCAAAAGGATAAATCTGTCTACCTAAACAATTTAGGATGTATTGGTGCTTTCTGGATGAAACCTGGGTGTTTTGAAAAGTTTGTTGTCTCATATATATTGCTTTGAGTAATGTGAGGTTTCAACATGTGTGGGTGCACTGGTGGCCCAGTCACCTAAAGCGCCGCAGTTCGCAGCGCAGAGTTGCATCCCTTAGGAACGCCAGAAACCCATGATCGTGAGTTCGAATCCCGGTTCGCCCGATTATGTCTCTCGTTTTTTAAGCACCATCCCTGTGCTTATGGGATTCACCAAAGTGGTAAACGTCTGACACCTGTATCACTCTGCGCTTTCCTATCACATTAAGCTGACACGCCGTGATATAACTGGTATACTGATAAAAACAGCCGAAACCCAATTCACACACTCACTACCATGTGTATGAAGAGTATAGTCTCTTGGAAGACATAAATTCAAGTTACAGACTGGTAACTGCATCTGTTTTCAAGAAGCCATCGATATAATTTTACAGGGTTAAACAAAATTGCGATAATGGTGAAAACGATGAAACGAGATGTTATTAATTACCTGCACATAACGGGCATGTCTCCAAAGGAAAGATACGGAAATAAAAGTGACAAAACCCTTGTCCTAATCATACATAAATAAGAAAAAAACGATTCGATATAATAATCGTGTGTTAAAGAATCACTATCAAATAGGGATGATACTAGGTGTTCGCAAAAAGTAACCTGCTCCTCCAGTGACACCCCTCACAAAAACATGCAAAGGCTAGTCAATTGTTCACAGACAAAACAGGGGAACATTTGTTACAAGTCAGAATAGGAAGTTGCATCGGACATCATTATTGTCACTAATGCATCTAATTTAGAAACGTCATTATCCAAAACGTCACAAGCGTTATAACATCTGTATCATATAATGCTTTTCTTAAATTCTATCGTTACAAACGGTTCCTAAACACTGCGAGGGGAGACTAATATTTGGCGTAAAACGGCCAGTGCTTATTCAGTTGGACAGGAACAAAAGACAATATAGTTTCACCTGAAACTTGTTTTTAGTCAGTGGCCTAACTACCATGTAGGCAGACACATAGTCTTAATGATCGCCTTTCGCGGCAATCAACCACCTTCTGGAGTTACTGCCCTTTATTAAAGGGAAGCTACTCCAGTCGATGAGGCATCTACATGTAAACTGGTTCGCTCGGTCACTCGTCCTGGTGTCAAATCGGGCGAGCGCTGGAACCGAGTGAATGGGGCTTCGAGTTCGGTTAGAGTCGGCCTGGTCCGAACATTGCTATTTCGTTACTAAATATAGTCAGATGTCCCACACACTGGCATAGAGATACAAAGGAAGGTAAAAGTGCACTTAACCCGACACCCTCCGCCATTTTGGACTCATTTGTCTGCCGCCCGCTAAATAAAGTAAGCAGTATTCGGGAACAAAAACCCAAGTTGCAGAGGTCTACAAGTACAGTTTTTGGAACTGACACCAAGACCGCCCTCGTATAATGTCTTCGCAATTCTTTTGCTTCCAATGTTGCCTGTACACTTCAGCTCAGCTACACCCCAGACTTTCGTTATCTTGGATTAATATTTTCACAAAGATGGCAACTATCTGAGATAAAAGACTATGTATCATTAGTTAGTTGGTTGGTATCAACAGACTTACTTGTGTAATCAACGCAGGAACGTGTACATCCAACAGGTCAATATGGTTTCATGGATTCGTTAAAGTACAAGTGTATAAGAAAAACAAACATTTCGAACTGTGCCTGAATGTTGTTTATGAAGGAACTAAATAAACAAAATATAACCAAACAGTTGTCTGTTCTTTGTGCTGACTGAAACCTGCTGTCTTGAATATAACGAATAGAGTAACGAATGGGGTGCATTTATTTTGTTCCTGTGCAAAACACGGAAGGCAACATATGGGAAATTAAGAAAGTAGCTTGTTTAAAAATGGTGGGTTGTCGCCATTTATATCTTTTACTGAAGGGCTTTTGTTCACGCCATGCATGTGCATCTGTTACATCTGATTCCTTAAGAAAACTCTTCATTACTTGATTCATAGGGCTTTCGTTACAAACGTGGTGATTATAGACCCAGTTACATATCTATCTTCAGAGTTTCAGTTTAGTTGGTCACAAAATGAAAGCAAAGCCACAATATTTGAAATGCTTGACTTCCTCATTGATAACATCTATTTAAAATTTGGGGGTAAAACATTTTGACAAAAAGGAGGCATCCCCATGGGCATCAATCGTGCTCCAATTATTCTTGATCTGATTCTTTATGCATATGTATCGGAATATCTGCTCGCATTGGTAAAGTCAGTCCACGGCAATTGGTTTATCTTATGCTTCAGGTACGTGCATGATCTGATATCGTACAAAACGGTCAAATAGCCAAGTTGCTTCCACTGGTTCACCCACCTGAACTAGAAATAAAGGATTCTAGTTAGGCCGCCTCGCCTATTTCATAATTAGATCTATGCATAAAGATTGAGAGTGACAAAACACTCTCCACAAGACTGCATGATAAGAGGGGTGACTCTTATGTCGATATAGAATAATATTTTCCAGAATAAATATTATTCCAGTAGCTCAGCCTTTGGTGTCTAAAACTTTTGAGGTACAAGATTTCAACACGCTTCATACGACTCTCGCTCAAACGTTGTTTGATACAACATTCAAGACCTAGGTAAGCCTTTCAGAAAGTTAAATGGTATAGACATGTGGGCATTTTCAAATTTGACGCATCAGTGACAGAAATGTCGGATACAATCCCCTATTTTGACTTGTACCATTTCTTCCTGTGTTGACTTGCTTTTGCATGTGTTTCTGACGGGTGCCAACGGTGTGGCAGGATACGCCAACCTTTTCGCGAACACCTGGTGTCATCACTATTAAATAGTGATTCATAAGCACGTGCTCATGATATAGTCGGAATCGTACAACCAACCCTCTTTTTATTTCTTTTGAATATTGAAACGGTTTTGTCGTTTTAATTTTGTCATGTATAAAGTAGTATTGTTTTGGTGAGACTTAAGACGAGGATGCTCAATATTATATAGGTGAACCAGCTGTGCATGGCACACATTTGATAATAAGTAACTGAAAGACGAATTAGCATGTTCCATTTTAATAACATTGCACATTCGCATGCGAACATTATCAATATACCTTTGTAGATCCATCTATAAGTTTGTTATACACGGCACACTTCTTCATATCACATGGCGATTCCTTCCACTCATAGCGGATACCACCAAGGTAGGGGTTGTTTGAGGTACATGCACTGTGGTAGTCGATTGTTACAGACGTTGAGTCAGAATGTGTGATTGGAACAGCCTTCCACAGCTTAGAAGGGTAGGTCATTGGACAAAAGTTCCTGGTATCAGATATATCCTTCCTCGGGACACAACACACCTGCACAGAAGTAAACAATGTGCTGTAGATCAGTGCATGTTAAAAAAAAAGGTTTAATTCGATCGGAATGATAAATATTGTGATACATGATTACTAAGGAGATGATTGATATCATAAAGTTGAAATGATAAATGATTTTATCACGATATCTGATACAAATTCCACCCCTAATGATGTACGGCTTTGAGATGACATCAATTAATATGGACTGCTTATAATCGTTTATTTTGATATTTCTACCCCGATGAACATTTCAAAATTGACACGGCAGCAAAATTGAGCATCATGTCATGTTTGAACATTCCACGACCACTCCTGCATGTATCGTTATGCACTTTCAGTTCTTTTATCTATTTGTTTTGGCACATACAAAACGATCTTTGACCTTTACGTTGCCTCGTTTGTATGATTTAACTGCATGTTTTACTTTGAGAGTTTTGTGTGTATGGTGTCTCTAAACGTGCTCAGATAATTCGGATCCGATTTGGCATCTGATTCCATGACCACCCATTTTGGAAATATATATACGCCCGTGTTTCAGCTACGTCCACATGTATCATTATGACATTTGAGATGTTATTTCTCTGACTTAGTAATCTGGTTCATCTGGTTTTACCGAATTATCAATTTCTCTGGCTTCACTGGGTTTGTGAAACTGCAATACTTTGTATATGATCTCGGCTCTAAAATCTGCCCACAGATGTCACATTTCACAACTTCAACCTTGAACTTAAAACCTTGGATTACGATGACTGACAAGCAGGCAAGTCACCGCACCTGATCACCTTTCCGAATTAGTCCTCTTTTACAACAAATAATAGACCCGTGAAGACCCGGGGTAGAATAGGTCTTCAGCAACCCATGCTTGCCGTAAAAGGTGACTATGCTTGTCGTAAAAGGCGACTAACGGGATCGGGTGGTCATGCTCGCTGACTTGGTTCATGCATGTCATCGATTCCAATTGCGTGGATCGATGCTCATGATATTAATCACTGGATTGTCTGATCCAGACTCGATTATGTACAGACCGCCGTCATATAGCTGGAATATTGCTGAGTGCGGCGTTAAACAACAAACCAACCAACCAATCAACAACAACTTATAGAGCCCTTGGGTCCTATACTGACCGGGTCATCCCGGGGTTCAATAAACTC